TTAATACGTTTCCCCCCCCCCTTACTTTTCATATAGCACAGTCTTTTGAATCCATGTTATGTTTATGGATCTTTCTCTGAGAAAAAAATATGATACTGGCTGGGATCCACATTGATTTTTAAATGGCTCTCATTCATTCATTCATTCAATCAATTAAAAAAATGAATTCTGTCCCATGACCTTTTGAGAAAAAATGTTAGAGCACTAGTCACTGCTAACTTTTATTGCTCTAAATGCTTTGTATGCGTTAACATATTAAATTCTTATAACAACCTTACATAGGGACTTCTTTTCTCTCCATCTGAGCGGTGGTGAAAACCGAGGCATAGTGAAGTCAGGTTACTTGCCAAGACTCATACGTAATATCTGATCTCTGCCCTTCATATTTCTAAAACCCAGTAAGGGAAACAAAACACAACTACCACCCAAGGTAGTTTGATAGAAGCACTGCGTGGAGGGTTCCAGTGACCGCTAGTGTAGGGCCCTGATGGGGCAGTGACTGCCTCTGAAAATTTCGTGGAGAAATTTGCACACATGCCCCTTGAGTCAGGAATTTAAGAGTTTTCTAGTATAGGTCAATGGTGGGACTGGTGGGACTGAGTGTGGACATTGTAGTAAACCCTAGGAATGAATGGTGAACCAAGCCTTGGTTTTATGTTCAGGGAAGAATTGTGAGTTCACTGCTAACAATGTAGTGGTACCCCTTCAACTTCCCTGAGGGACATGGCATGGTGTTCACAGTGTATATCTAAAATATAAAATAATGTGTACTAAAATATAAAATAAGCTTCAAATCCAAATATTCACCATTGATATAAATTAAAAGAATCCCATCATCTTTTCTTTCTCTTGCTCTCTCCCTTAGTAGAGACTCAAATTAACTTTCCAAAAGAAAATCATAGAGGCTGTTCTTATTTTTTATTTATGTATTTATTATTTTTTTAGTTCTATCTATTTCTGAGAGAGAGAGAGAGAGAGAGAGAGAGAGAGAGAACGCACTAGTAGGCGGAGGGCAGAGAGAGAGCGGGGCGGAGGATCCCAGGTGGGCTCAGCGCTAACAGCAGAGAGCCCGGTGTGGAGCTCGAACTCATGAACCATGAGATCATGGCTTGAGCTGAAGTCGCACACTCAACCAACTGAGCCACCCAGGCGCCCCAGTGCTATTTTTAAAATACTTTTTTCCTTTAAAGAGCACTTTTGCAGCCTGTGTGGATGATTTTTGTTTCTCTGGCCATGCCCCCTTTCTGCAGACCTTACCCGGGCACTAGTGAGCAGCATGAAATACTACTGTGGGAGCTCCTAGCAGGTCACTGGGAGCAGCATAGGGAGGGAAGCTTCAGCCTGTTCCCAGGCTGCCCCTGGCGCTCAGTCTTCGTCTCCTTTCGCCCTCTGCTACCCCATTCTTACTAGTATTATGCCAACACGGTTATTGTAAAGCAGGTTAAAACATTGTTAGGGGTGCCTGGGTGGCTTAGTCGGTTAAGCGTCCGACTTTCGCTTAGGTCATGATCTCACAGTTCGTGGGTTTGAGCCCCGCGTCGGGCTCTGTGCTGACTGCCGGCCCAGAGCCTGGAGCCTGTTTCAGTCTGTGAATCCCTCTCTCTCTGACCCTCCCCTGCTCACACTGTCTCTCTCTCTCTCCTAGAAATAAATAAAACATTAAAAATTTAAAAAAACATTGTTAGAAAATGTACCTGTACTGTTAAAACTAGCTCCCTGTGCCTGTCTGTCATCAGTTCCCTGTCCCCCTTCCCTCCGCTTTGGGGATTCACCTGCCACCCTCAAACTGTTCTGCTCTTTTGTGATTATCTGTACCGATGGGAAGGGGAGGAACGTTGGGGTTAATTAAGGCTGTCATTCCTGAGCCCATTTCATTCCAGAAACCTGTACCTGGAGTTTCATCAGATTTTAATTATGCAAAGGTATCTTGTTTTAGGATCGGCCCCTCTTCCTCTCACCCCTGTCCGCTGCAGCAGGTTAAGAGGAGAGAAGGGGGAAGTGCTGAGCAGCTACAGGCTTCCCTCACTCATTCATACATTGGATAATCAGCTCTGGAGTCGTTTTTGCGTGAGCTGCGTTTATGGTGATTCTTGTCAGAAATTTGAGGAACAAGGTCCTTTCTCTTCCCCGTCCCCACTTTCCGAGTGTCCAACAATTGCCATTTTAGCACAGATTGAGTTGGTTCTGCAGCCTCTCACTTACATGGTGGCAGGGATCCTGGAGTCTCCATGGACCCCCACGGGCGGAGCCCTGAGTACAGAATGAAGGGGGAAAGGAGGTGGGGCCTCTGGTGCCTAAATATGCAGGCACTTAGCAGGAATGGTGGGAACAGAGACGCCAGTGGGGTTGCTGGCGGCCATGGAATTCCTTTCCAAACGAATGGCTCCAAAGGTTTGCTGACGAGGGCAGGCACTCTCTGTGAGGACCATTGGGCACCGGAAGCCTTCTTGTTCCTGACCTTGCAGAGAAGGCCCTGCTCGCAACTGAGGAGGTCTGGAGTACTGCTTCGCAGGACATCGAATTTGAATCCACAAGTGGCTTCAAAAATCAATGGAAGGAAATGCAGAGTCCACTACATTTCCTTCCTTTACTGATGCTCCACGTCTTGACTTAGTGTAACTTCCTGGATTATGGCAGAGAATAGGACCCTTAGTATGTAACCTTCAGGCACATAGTGGGCCATCTTCCATTTTAAGCACACAACTTAGATTAACTTACAAAACCTTACAACAATCCTGTGAGGTAAATATTAGCAATCCTTCTTTAAATATGTGGCAATCGAGGGACTGAGAGATTAAATGAACTTGCCCAAGATCCAGTAAGTGGCAGGTAGAGCCAGAACTTAGAAGCAAGGAGGTACAGCTCTAGGACCGGTCACTGCACTGTACTGCTCTGCACTTCTTTGGGTGTTTGTTGTGGGAATTATTGTTCATTTTTCCTTAGAAAAATATTCCTAGTTTGTTGAGGATCAAAAGTAAATGAGTTAAGCCTTTGTTAATCCTTAATGTAGGATAGATGCTAGAGGGATATGAAAAATAATAAATATTCTTACACTGCAGGGATTTAGAAGAATTCATTTAGGGATTCCAAGGCATATGACTGAAAATCAAATACAGGGTACCCAAGGGTAGAACCAAATAAGTGTTACAGGAGTTCAGAGAAGAGAGAGATTCCTTCGGTCAAGGCTGGTCTTTTCAGAAGACCTCATCACAGACTGGACTTTACAGAATGGGTAAGGTATGTGTCTAGAAAAGGGTAGGCTGTTCTGGATTGGGAGACTGGAGGGAACAAGCTCTGTAAGCCAGGAGGGCCTGAGAAATGGATGGGTGATGGTGCAGTTACCAGATTAGTTGGTGTGAAAAATGGAACCTGGGAACAACTTGAGGAAGGGCAGTTCCAAGTGAAAGACTGTAAACTTTCATGTGTAAATACCCGGGAGTAAGCAGTCAATATGCTGAACTGGAAACCTGGAAATCGGAATGATATGAGACCTTTTCACTTTTCTTACTGTTTCTGCAAGCGAATTACACTGCAGGCAGAGACCCACTAGAAAGCCTAGGTGTCAAATAGGACAAAGAGGAGAGACAAACAGGGCAGATGGTGCAAGGGAAGGTTCACCTTGATGGCCAGTGTCTGTGGAAGAAGAGGCAAAAGTGATGGGAGCTCTTGGACCAGAAGGACTGTGAAGGTCCCATAACATCTCAGCCATCTTCTTGGCCAGTGACTTTCATGGTTGGGACGTCCTAACCTCTTCCCTTTCATCTTTTTATGTAATAAGTGATCACCTGAGCACATTTTCAATGATAATGATATCCAACAATAAAGAGAGCAGATCAACAGGACTGTATTTCTAAAGACTAAAATGCTCAATACCTAGAACTGTGTTCAGCACATCTAAGCACACTTAGTCATTAGTTTACCCCAACATTTAAGCATCTGCCTGGTTCTAAGTTCGATGCCAGGCACCAAGGAAGGATGTAGTGGTGGATGAGGCATAGGCCATGACTTCCTAGGGGTTTACCAGAGTCCAGCGGAGGAAGACAGATCAGCAGGTGGTTTTGTTATGGCTTAAATGTCTGCATCAGTAAGGTGATTGTGTATCCCTACCTGTGTGGTATAGTCTCAGTTTGGATGATGAATTCTATTACCCTCCCAATTATAGGACATTGGCTTAGTGCACAAAGTGAGGGTGCACTTAGGCAGGACACTTAATGCAGTATTAGGAGCGGGGTCACTCAGGGCTTGATGGAAAATGTGTCCCAGCTGATACCTGCAGGCTGATTAGAGTGAGGGAGGGTTGGGGAGGAAAGCAGTGGTGCAGCAGGTGGAAAGGTGGTCGTTCCAAGCATTGTTTGCAGATTGAATGAATTTATTGATGAACAAATAAAACATCATCAGTGTACAAACTCACCAAACATCTCAATTGCTAACGACGTATCTGTAATCATTTGGTGTTTATACATAACATTTCTTCCAGGTCTTGGAAGGGAAATTCTTTGAAAACTATAATTTTACTTTGTCTCTAAAATACAGATGTTAGGCTGGATGATATCTATGGTATTTTATAGTTTGAAAATTCTACTGTATAAAATCCCATCTCAACCTGCTACTGGAGAATGATAAATAATCCTGAAAGCCCACTGAATTGTCCCCTTTCTCCCAAGGTAACCACTGAGTTATTTCTCACTTATTCCCTTCCAATTAATTTTATTCCTTCAAGTTGATTGAAAGCTGCTTTACAGGCAGAGACTGTATCATTCTCATGCAGCTCCCATTTCACACATTTTGGCTGGTGGTGGTGGTAGGTTGGTGAGTGGGAATAGAGAAGTCCTTTCTTTTCAGGGTGCAAGGGAGGCAGTCTTATCCCCATCACCAAATGGCTCCTCTTTATTCAGCTTTTCAAGGCATTATAATTCTGTGATTACAGATTTTTGTTGTTGCTGTAAATGGTTATTTTTTCAACTTCTTTTTGGTGAACATCTTGCTTTCCTCTTATTTAGGTCCTTCCGAGTTATTGGATATGGCAGACAGCGAAACGTGAGTGTTACCTTTCCTTACATAGTCTAGATTATTTTCTTTAGAACATATCTAGGAGAAGAATACAGTCTGTAGGGCATACGATAGATCATTTAAATGCCAGTGATAAAGAGTTTGCTTTTTTTTTGTTTAATGTTTATTTATTTTGAGAGATAGAGATAGAGCATGAATGGGAAGAAGGGCAGATAGAGAGAGAGACCTAGAATCCAAGGCAGGCTTCAGGCTCCAAGCTGTCAGCCCAGAACCAGACATGGGACTCCAAATCAGGAACCATGAGATCATGACCTGAGCTAAAGTCGGATGTTTACCCAACTGAGCCACCCAGGTGCCCTAAGAATTCACTTTCAATAGTGCATGTAACTGCTAATCTTAGAAGTCAAAAATTACACAATAAAAATTGATGACAAGAATCCTAATGATTACATGCACAATCATTGCTATTCATCATTTAGAACTTCCTACTGGCAAGGAAGTTCTGCATGGGTACATCTTGGACTCCTGAGAAGTCTAAATAAATACATTTACCTTTTTTATTTACTCTTTCTCAGCTGGGGTTTGCGAGAAAATGAAGTCCTAATACCCTACGGCATCCTCTGTTTGTAATGAAACCTCTATGCTGAGCCTAGAATGGAAGACGTTATAGACAACCATTGGAGGAGAATTAAGACTATAGGAATTCCAACAATTGTTATGTTCTCTGGTTCAGATGAGAAACCCTGGTTGAGAAAATCATCCACTTTGGGGTGATCCCCAAACTGAGTTTGTTTTTAGCTTTTTTTTGCTCCTTGGGCAACAAAAATAACTACTGCTCCCCAAATACAGACAAAGAAAGGCTAACTATCTAACTCTGAAAGCCATATAGAAGCACTGTAAAACTTCTCAGAAATTTGAAAAGAAATAAAGATGGATGGGGAGTAGCTGAGTAGGTCTGGAGGAAGAAAAAAAAGTAGGAATGAATAGAGCAGAAGATGAGTGGGAAGGGTATTGTTATGTAGCTATGAGTTACTAGACGTGGAAGAAGTTATCCGTTGTTGCAAAGAGTTTGTCCACATACCGTATCCTGTTGACAAGATTGTCACCCATTTGTCTTGTCTAAGGACTGCATTTGATTTTCCGTGATAAGCTTTGGCATTGAACATCCTTTCCATTTTGGACTCAGACGTGAAATATCTTCCTCCCTATACTGCCTGCGAGAGGGGGTGGAAATAGCTACTTGGCCTCACCCTCTTCCCAGGCTGAGCGGCTGGCCTCAGGCCTGCTGCCAACAGGGGAGAGCTCGTGTCCCCCCCTCTCCCAGATATCCTCTGTGGCTGCCCACACCCTCCCACCTGCCAGTCACACGAAATTAGTAGGTAGGGCAGCTTGTGTTGACTGGGTCCTTCGAAGTTGAGTCCCTGGGAGATACTCCACTGAGGGCCCCAGGGCAGTTTGCCAAGCACTGTGTGATGTGCCTGAAGGGCTCGTGGTTTTCCATCTTTGTTCCTTGTGTACTGTATCCGGCGCCCCTGCATTCTGCCCGAATGTGTCCACAGAGAGAATTGTTCTGCAGTGCTCAGACGCATCCGTACGTATCAGTCTGTTTGATAGGGCCATTGACTGTTGCCTAAATCAAGCATTAGTGGTTGAAAACAAAATCACTCAGCCTAGTTAACACTCTTTAGAAAAGAGATTGGAGTCAGGTATTACGGTTAGTTGATGACTAACCGAAGACGTTTTTAGATACCCTGACATCCACCTCCCCAGAATGTGCCAACAGCCACGGTCTCAGCTGCAGATAGCGGAGGAGGAAGCCGAGAAGCACAGAACATCAGCAGCAGGGATAGAAGGCCACCCTCGCCCCCTCCCTGCCGCCTTCACCCCCACTCCTGTCCCTGCCCCCAGCCCCTTTATGGGTAGTTTCCCATCTCATCTTTGATTTAGGGGTGAGACCGCACTGCACAAGGCTGCCCGCCAGCGGAACCGGGCTGTGTGCCAGCTTCTGGTGGATGCGGGAGCATCTCTGAGAAAGACGGACTCCAAGGTAACTTGATGAGTGAGTGCAAACATCCTCCCACTGGGCAAGACCACCGGCACCACTGCCTTCACTTGTGCCCATAGCAAAGGCATCCTTTCTGTGCTTATGGAAGTGCCTGGGGCTTTGGAAAAAGGAGGAAAAAATAAAGTGCTCCATTTAGAGAAACTGTAGTTTAAATCTATAAGCACAAAGGGAAGGGTGTGTGCTTGCCTATGGGACTTTATAACCCCCTGAATGGGCTGGCCTTGGGACTTTGGGGGTCGTCCTGCTGAATGCCAGCAGCCGAGCTGCCGGGAGGGGAGGGTCAAAGCCTACGAGAGGGCTAATAGACATGGGCTTGCTGCCCGGAGCCCCCTCTCCTTCAGCTACTCTAGCTAGTGTAGCTTAAAATCTATGATGTATGTGGCCCCATACATGGGGGCCCACGTGATTAGCGGTCACAGTGGTCAGCCCTGACTCTGAAAGGGTTATAATCATAAACCTGGTGCATTTCTGTTGGCTTTTTATTTTTAAAGATTTCTACCTATTTATTTTCTTATATTTTCCCCTAAAAGTTAACCCCTGAAGTTAGGGTGGGAATTACTAATTACTCTCATTGATGCAAGAACTGAAACCAAAAGGAAGTTGTCTGCCCTTAGACCAGTAGCTGAGCCCAAATCCAATTTCAGCTCTTTTGACACCCAGCCCAGTGTTTTTTCAGCAGATCAGCCGTTCTCTTTTGGTGACAGAATACCCCCCACTGGATGCGACAGGGTGAAGTGTGGCAACAGAGTAACAAAGTTGGGTTTTGTCCTATGGTTTGTATAATGTTTTATTGCCTTACAATGATAGCTATGGCATGGTGGCTTGAAATGTGGCTAGTTTCCCTGCAGCAAAAGTCCTGCAAATCTGGATTCAAGGTGTGTTAATGTCTTAATGAGAGGGAGTGAGGCCAGAAATTGATAGTGGGACATATCTGCCAACCTTGATCAGAAAAACACCAACCAGTAGAGGTAAGGAGGAGACACTCAGTCGGGGAGAACTGACTTCGGGCTGCACCATGAGTTGTTCATTTACAGAGAGCACCAAAAAAAAAAAAAAAAAAAAAAAGCTGAGAGATGTATCCCAGTAGCATTGACCCGGGACTGTGGCCCAGGAGACAGAGAGATACTTAATCTAGAAGTGTCACAGAGGGGCCTGATGAGGTCTGAAAAAACATCCCGGGGAGCCCCTCAGAAAGGACAAACTATTTAACTCTAGAGGATTGCAGAGAAGAATTTTAATATAGAGATGAGGATTTCACTATCCGGGCACTGAATAAATAGCCTACGTTTTGGGCTGGTGAATAGAGCCAAGGAACACAGACATATTACTTACATGACTTGAGCCCCGTTAGACTTAATTTAAGTGACTAGCAACTGCTTATATGCAGTTTGCCTCCTGGGGTTTCCTCAAACCGCAGTGAACACTATGAAGTCATTTTTCCTCCTGCGTGGGCCTCTTTTTCTGCTCTGAGCCAGTTCTGAGCCAGTTGCGTGGCGTGATCCTCCACTCCCTCAGCAGCCCACCAGATCCTTGCTCACTGCCTGAGGTCCCTGGCCACCTCTGTTCCCCCCTTAGGCTAGCAAACATGTTAAGCTGTGCCTGGGTTCCTAGCTGGTCTGTTACCTGTCTGGTTAGCTGATTGGGCATCGGATTTCAAATGGATTGCTCAATGTGATATTCTTCCCAGATGATATTTGCACTGAAAGTCTTTGCTACATAACCTGATTGAAAAACACCCACCAGGTAGGCAGGATCAATGAGGCCGTGATTTGAATGGTTGGCCTTGCTGGGGTCACTCACACTACAAGATGGCAATTGCCGTTTACCACACAAAAGGCTGTCTTATACTCAATTCAGAATATAAAAAGAAGAGGACAACATGAAATAGACAAAAGACTGGTCAGGGGACCTGGTCCCTGGGCAGACTGCTCTTTTTTTGTTTTTTTGTTTTTTTTTAAATCTTTCCATGTTTCTGAATCCAATAAATGAGCTCAACATTCCTTGAGGTTTCTTCCTATTTTGTGTTATGTAGATGCATGTGTTTTTTCAAAATGCAGCTTTGTTATTTTTATGATTATAAGTAGAGTGCATTCCTACATAGAAAACTCTAGCAATGCAAAAAATACATAAAAAGATAAAAATCTCTAGAAACCCCACACTGTAGACCTGTATACTATTAAATTTGTAATGATCCCACTTCACCGGTAGGTATGCCTGTTTTTCTCTCTATTTAAGTAAGTGAAGTCACACTCTTCACGTTATGTAGAATGCAAGTGTTCACCCAACATTGTGTTCCAGAGGCCTCACCATATGAAGTAGTATATGAGTCATCCTTTTGGGGATCTGTTAATTTTTCCATTTTGTAATTTTATGCTAAGTGAAAGCAGAACATGATGATTACGACTGGATCTTCTCTTAGAATGTTTTTTTATTTGGAGAGGAGCATATCTTGAGAATTTCTCTTGCTACAGAACATTTCCTTTGAAATCAACTCAAGGGCCAGCCCAGTCCATCTCTCTGAATATTTAGAAGCTAGTAATTCCAACCTCATTAATATTGAGGTTAAGACCAGATAGTCTATTAATACTGTAAACAAGTTGAGAAAAATTATTATAGGAATGTCAAGCTGGCAATATAATACTGAATCCCAGCTAAATAAGTAAAATTTTAGAAGGAATCCAGAGCCACTGCTACTTTCCTTTTATTCTCTGCCCACATACCCTTGTAGGCTGCTGGGAGCAGGCTTAATTAAACTTGACACTCTCGATTGCAGTGACTTAGATGAGGCTGAGAAGCCTTCAATAATTTTTGTGATACTCATGTGCATTTATACATGTGGAGCAGTTTCTTTTGTACAGTGATAATGCCTCTACCTTTTCCCTAGAACTTAGTATCACTTTTTAAATAGATAAAGCCATGTCATTGAACAAAAATTAGAAGTTTCAAGGAGTGTTAAGAATCTGTAAGCATTCAAAAGAATAGAGACCTACCTTCCTTCTGCTGAATTCTATTCATTGACCTGATCCCAAAAATATCATGTGTGTGTATAAATATACGCATGGCATTAGAGTAAGCTGCAAGAAAAGATAGTCACTTAAGATGATGTAGAAGATCACTGAATGACAGAAAAGCTTCATATATTAGGTGGAAACATGTGTGATAGAATAGTATATAAACAGAGTATGGTTTTATTTTTATAAAAACAATTATGTGTAGAGCTACAGGAAAATACAAAACAGTCACTCTGTGAAGGGTTAACAGTGGTTATCTTAGTATAGAATAGGGATTATTGGTGATTTTTATGTTCTTCTTTACGCCTTTGTACTTTACTAAGTTTATTTTTAATCAACATCCATTACTTTTATAGTCAGAAATTAACTCACTTTTTGGAGAGATGAGATTGTTTGAAATTGGGGAGAACTTAATTGAAGACTTTAAAATCACCAAAGAAACCATCTCTAGATCATTTAGACCCATCCCATGCTATCATTTTCTGCTTGCTGCTTCCCAGACTTCAGTGTAATAGGAAGAATCCCAAATTGGAAACCTGAATGCCTCCTCTCCTGCTTTTCTGCTCAGTGATTTCTACCCCCCTTCTCCTCCAAAGCATCTGGGTTCTAAAGCTCACTGTGCCACACTGTTTCCTGCTGTGGACGCAGTTACCCTGAACCTCTGTTTCCTCGGATGTAAGCCCCACCTGTAGAGTGATAGTCTCTTTGTCTTAAACTTACCTATCTCACCTGGTTCATGTGATGATAGATTTGAAAGCGCCTTGTGAACTCTAAAGCCATCAGCATGGAAAAATCCTTTAGTGAGTTATCTTTGAGTACCTCTATTTCTGCATTTTAAAAAAAATCTCATTCCAAGTATTTGTGTCTCTTTCCTTCCCACTGTTACCTATAGGGTAAGACACCTCAAGAGAGAGCACAGCAAGCCGGAGACCCGGATTTGGCTGCTTACCTAGAAAGCCGCCAGAACTATAAGATCATTGGCCATGAGGACCTGGAAACTGCTGTTTGACCCTGGTAGATCACAAAGAGAACCTGAGCGAGCATATCACCTGTGCCCTCCCGGCGATCGGGCAGCTCCCCTGGAAGAAGCTGATGGAATCCATAAATCTGTCTCTCTCCTGCAAGAATCAAGCTGATACCATGTCACCAGTTGTTAAGGGCTACCACGGCATCCAGCAGAACATGATAGCCCACGGAGGAAGAGGCAGGGTACCTGGAGATTTGTGGAATACACGTTCCACAAAATTTGATCCTTATTGCTTCCAGCAAGTAGCATGAACTTCTGTGTTCACCTGTACAATTTATTTTCAAGATTCAAAGGATGTTCACATACATGGCACTACTCCCGCCTCCCCCTCTGCATTCATGACTCCCCCCCGTACCACACAATTCTGCTGTAACTACTCACCATTCAAAAAATATGATCGGTTCTCTTTACATTCAGTCCTTGAAGACCACAGGACCATCTGAAGGTCTTTGAAAACCCTCTGGATGGCCTGCAGAAACACAACTGTAAAGCTGCTTCCATTTCCAAGATGAAATATACCAAGACAATTCATGACTTTTTGCATGTCCCCCCCCCCCCCAATCCCTTGTCATTATGTAGGAGCTGGGATGTGCCACATGGATAGTGTCCACTTGTGTGCTCTTATCTCTGAGGTATGGTGAGGTGGCATGGGAGGGAACCCAGGGGCCGGCCCGGGGTTGCGGGGCTGTTGCTGACAGCTACAAGGATGGGTTCAGCTTGGGCTGTTTGCACAGCTCCGTACTGCCTACGTGTAGCCATCTTTGCCTTTTGCTGCAATAGACATGAGCAAAGGATTAAACGAAGGCCCACGGCTGCTTTGCAGAACCACTGGATTTTTAAGTGCAGTTGAAGTTGCCGAGCAGAAAACCATGTGCAAGAGCTGCAGTAACAGGAAATGGAGCACCGTGACAGCTTTTACGCAGTCTTTTCTTGAGTGATAATAGAAAGCAGGCTAATTGACTTGAAATAAAACAGCCAGTGCAAAAGTAGCAACATATGTCAAAATAACTCACTTAAGCAAGGAAATGGTTGCTGGAATATTGCACAGAGGCTAGTAACTATAGACTCTTAGGTGCAGTGGTGAAAGGGGGCCCATTTTAGCTTTTCCTTCTAAGTTTTAGGTTTTCATTACCCCAAGTAAGCCTTGTCCCAAGGACAAAGCCTTCTTTTATGAGTCCCACTGCCAGATTTCCAGGATGGCTGGATCTTTCTGATGGATGCCTCGCCTTTTACTTGTCTGGTCCCAAGTTATGCCTGATAGCACTACAGCCCCATTTCTTCTGTATGGGGTAGTCTAATATATTCCTTTCTCTGTTTTCCTCTACTGGAAAATTCTTAGTACAATCCGCGGTGGGAGCCTAGCCAGAAATGTGTCTCTGGCATTGGAATTGCAACTTCTAATCCTGCCACAGATCTGTTGGTACATCCAGGTCCCTCTACTGGGGACCCTGGGATAACCATAATAGCAAGAGGAAAAGTCTAACTTTCAGTGAAGATATCTACTTGACTTGCGTATAAGTCAGAGATGACAGTGCGTGATTAAGGGTTGTTTCAGACTAGAACTGATGTCTTCTGAGCTTTCTTCCATTTCGCTCTTAGACACAAGCAAAGTGCTTCTCTAGTATTTCTGCATGTGACTATATAAATGATGGTTTTTCTACATTTACTGTAAAGGTCCAGTGGTGATGCATTGCTTATCTTACTTGCATCTGGTCACATATCATTTTGAAAGGACAGATATGAATACTAGATTAAGTAGGAATAGCTTCTCAGTGTTTGGGCACGTAGGTTCACAATCAAATCATTGGTGGTGTTTCCAGCCGTTGGGAAAGAGGCTGGTTGTGAGTAATCTGTTGCCATATATCAGTCTTAGTAATGGAATTATCTGTTGGGTTTTATGGTGAAGGGAAGGAGAACTGTAGCAGATTGTTTCCAGAAGCTGGAAAAAAATGTGCTCCAGGAAATTTTAATCACTGGGTTTCATCTGGGAGTTTTTCAATTGGTGGGACTGTCAAAGAGATGTTGTGATGACAGAAATATAATCCTTAAAACAGACTGGAGTCTGGCCTTGAATGGTGCCTTCCATTCCCTAGATTTAGCCAAACAGTTGGCTGCACCGTTGGTTACCCAGCTGCCATTTCTGGGATGAAGGACTATTTTCACCAACTCCATCTCATATTTCTTTGTGATGCTTCAGAGCAGCCCAGAGAAAATTTAGGGTATAGATGGCAATGGGCCAATTCAAATAGGTCCAACCGAAGTCACAAGTAAATTCCTGGTGTGCAAGTAGATTAGATAATGACTACTGTAGGAGGTCTGGTACATTTGAAAATAGTTCCAAGCCAAAAAAAGAAAACAATTATTAATGGGAAACTACATACAACCAAGGCAAATATCTCTTTGGAAAAGCAAATGCCCACAGGACTTGGGTTTTCCAAGAAAAGAACATCAGAAATGAGCAGAATAGTTATATATTTAATGGGTTCGATATTAAACCTACCTCCTGTAGCATTTTTTAAAATTGATCTCTGCGTGTGACAGTCCTGGGCTTTAGAGAGAGTAAGGCCATATGCTCCAGGAGTTTCCAGCTCAGCTTAAGTAGAGGCTCCCTCACCTTTAATGGGCCATCAGAAAGTATAGAAGCAAATGGTCTGGCCCTAGTCTGTAAACCCACATGCATTTAATTTAAAATACATAAAACTATATACTTATAGAAATAGCAATTTCTACCAAACCTCCTGAGATGGTACTGGAAAGTGGCAGCCTTAGCTGGCATTCCTCTGTGTCTGGCTCAGAAGAGCCCCTCCCATGGTGGTGCTTTCTGCTCTTGGATTCCATTTTTAGGTTAGGCTGACAGGGAGGGGTAGGAGGGATGGAGAGTTATTACAAGACAACATCAGAGAACCCTAAAGGTAGTCATTTTCGAAGCCGTATATTCCAGTCGTATACACTTAATGAGATAGAACCCAGCTAAGCTGCGCTCTCTCACATTCAAGGACTTGATAAAAAACAGAAGCCAAGAAGGAAATAAACACCATGGCTGCGAATTTCTCTTTGGGAGTTCTGGTTAACCTCTTGTGGAGGCTTTAGCCTAAGACCAATGCAATTTCTGAAAAAGAGAGTTTAGCTGGCAAGGGCACAGCCCTGAAGTTAGTGACAGCTGATGGGAGGCCTCTCACACCCCATTGCCCCCTACCCTGTCATGGCAGTGGGCTTTAGTGCTTAGGCACATCTGTTTGCATTGAGGGACCCTCAGCAGGTAGCTTTCCTTTGGACCTCATAACCATTTCTTTGCCTAAAGGATTTCTGAAATTTATTTACCAGACTTCTCATCATATCCATGTCTTACACTATGTGGGGCAGCAGTTTTATGTTTTTATGTGTCTATTTTATTTAAAATACTTAGATTGTTTAATTTATAGAAGTCGAACAGGCTTTTTATAAGTTCTAATAGCACAGATGAGAATCATAGGCAAGGTCAAGGTGTTCCTGTATGCTGGTGTCCTCATTCCCCTCCCCAGAGATAAAGAATGTTAACCCTGATAACCATTGTTGCTTGTATGTCGTGTCAGAAATACTCTGTGTACACAAGCCTCCACCCACCTATAGAAGTATATTTATTTGTATACATATGTGTATATCTCTACTATACACTCATTATTGCATAGGCTTATACTAGAACATTTTAGAAGCATGCTAATCATCTCTGTGTATAGTTAACACCAAGACGCAAAGACAGGCAAACAGAAATTTTTCACTTATTCTTTGCTGTCTTTACTGTTGCTAAGCTTAGTTCTATTACTGCCGCACTCCAACCGCACATGGCATTTGCTATTGCCTGTGTTATAAAATCCATGACCAAGAGGTCTTATAATGGTTTAGATTACCTTACGTGAAACATGAAACCTACCTGAGCCCAGAGCTTTGTCTGCACCAGTTTTGGATCTCAGATGGAGAATTTCTTTCTCTGTCCTGCTTACTCCACTTCACAAGGCTGAGTTTGCAGGGCTAATAACACTCCATACCCTGCCTAATGATATTCAATTAGGGCCAGTTACTGCCAGGAAGGTGTCATAACTTGGATATGGGCTGGGGTCTGAGGAGCTTGGCTTCCTTCCAGTATGAGTAGCTAATGAAATTGCTGAAAACAGCGTGATCTTTTATTCAGTTATGCTGTTTAAAAATAAAATCGATCATTGTTGAAATGACTCATCATAGCCATCAAATAAAACTAACTGCTCTACTTAAATGGATTATTTTCATTTTAGCTAAGAAAAAAGTAGAACATCTATTAAATGAGAGGCATTTCTAACTAATCTTTAGCATTTATTTGTGTAAAAATTTTCTGTCCAGGTCTCACTAGAACCTTCTCAATCTCTTTCCTTTCTCATTTTCTGAATTCCATATTCAGCTAATTGCTATAGTATTTTTTCTGCTGAGCCTTTCAGATGGACTTTGGCCCCATCCCTTTCTGTGACCAGGTCTTCACTCATCTCTAGTCCCTCCATGGTCCCTTCTGACCATGGCAATAGTCCTGGACTCTTCTGCCGCTACTTCCAGTAATTTTGTCATACAGATGCCCAGGTTTCCCCCGAGTATTATGCTCAAAATGGATCAAAATGGAATTACCCTCTGGGACAAGTATCCATTTTGCCTGAAGGACAAATAGATGTCCACGGACCTTGAGTATCTTGTAGAGTTACAACAAGCCTTATTCTGAGAAGTCATCTGCCACAGAGGTTTAGCACACGTCTGTCTTAGCCCCACCATGGGCGTCCTCAATGATGGCAGTTTCTTCTACATCCAGTGATGTAAACCATTCGCTCCCCGAAGTTACCTAGATGACCGGATTATATACGTGTTGCACCCCTACTGGCCACCTGTGCAGTTTTAGGCTGTCTCCCCACAGGTTAATGAGAAACCTAAAAATAGAACAAAGCAAGGAGCGGTGCCCTTGGACAGCCCACCCTCCCCGGACACATAGCACTGACCTGATCTCAAAAAGAAAGCAGAA